GGGAAAAGGATGTTTTGCAACGCCGGCACCTCTTTGACCATGGCGAATCCAAGCTTGACATGCACGAGGGCAGTGACGTATTACCTGAGGACCTCAGCCTTGGCCGTTTCTCGGCAGTTCAACTAGACACCCCGTTTCTAAGGCGGACCGTCAGGCTGTCGATCACCTTCCGATATCACTGGTGGCTGCGGACGGTTGCTATCATTTAAGGTTGACCAAGCAGGGAAAGTGAAGTAGAGTTTGTATTTTTCAACATCTTTAAACCAAGCTCCATGTGGAACACATCAGTTTCCATGTAGAATTGATCGGCTCCAACGCTTCCAACCTCGGATGGCGCCTTGGGACCGGTTTCCCATCCTGTACCTGGACGTCTGGACGTCTTGACGTCTGGGGGTCCAAGCGGTTTGGACCGAACATGAACGGAAATAGACCACGTATACTGGAGATTGATGGGTCAACTTACTAGGGTCCACCAGGCAACCCGGGTGCTGTGCCAAACCCACACGAACCTCGCTGATCCATCACTTCGCGTTCGAACGATCCAAAGGTGCGTGAGCTGCGACATCTTCTACGCTTGTGCCTACGCCTAGCTTTCGAAGCGAAAACCATCGAACGTGGACGTTTCGGTCGATTGCTCGTGCGGTTGATCGCGAGCGATCGCTAGCGATCGCGAGCGATGGCTGAAGTGAGGGCTGAAACTTCAGGGATCAGGGGGTAGCGGTGCTCAGGGCCTGTGTCTGGGTGATACCCCTTAAGGTTGGACTCTTGGAAAGCGAGGGATGACAATGGGTCAACCTTTGGGAGGAGGTTATGTCATCAAAAAAACATCACTGCCTTGCGAAGGCATGAAAAAAAACGTCCAAAAAACATCGTATACATGGCGGTATATGGGGCATTTCATCTGGCCATGGTTGAGGGGGCAACAATGATGTCTTCTGCGCGAACGAGTCTTGGACCTCTTTTGGCTCATGCCTTTTCATTCGGGTCAAGGGAATGACCTCACCACTCTTGGGGAGTTTCAAATGCTTGAGATCCTATACCAGGTCTAAGTTGGAAATAGTGGGAGTGTAGGACTATCATTGGGATTCAGATTTCAGCTTATCATAAAATGTTATCTTCAATTGATCAACAATGGGACATCCACCAATCGTCCAACCTCCCACGACGTCTCAGAACGTCTTTTAAGGGCTATCGGAATAAAGGGTGGTTTCATATCAAGCAAGCATAATATGTTATGAAATATATATATATATCTGTATGATAATAGTATATTATGATGTAATATAAACCGCACATAATAAATATATATCATATATATAGAGATGTGTGAATTTCAATGGTGCATGTGGCATTTTGGAGAACTGATCCAGCTAGCTCACAGCATGCATCATGCAACGATGCCGAGACCGGCCTAAGCTAAGCTGAGTCAGACTGACTCAATGTTTGCAGGGCTTGGACACGTTTGGAATACATGACGCACACATCTCTTATATAGCTTATGTTTTTCCAGCAAGCACGCTGAGCCTTGGAAGAGTCAATTTGCAAATAGCCACAATTTTTTGGGGTGCTCGGTATTGCTGCCATATGGTGGATGGTCAAACATTTGCAAGATGTGTGAGTTATTTTGACTCAATCTGGTGATATATATATATATATATGAAGTAGGAGGCTTACTTCAAAGCTGTTTGGAGCCTCACCAAGAGAGTCCCATACATGATTTTTTGACTATGGCTTGTATAGGGGTTGGTATTGGAAGAACAGCAAAGCCCCCAGACCAAGACTCACAAAGAGAGGAGAAATCGACGACCAAACCCAATGCTAGGCCAAGGGCGAAGACCCCACGTGCATACCAATTTTGTGGCAAAGAACTTTCTGAAAAATCTCGGAAACTTCCAAACAACATGGGTTCAAGTCCCAATGACTCAACCAAAAACCACCTGATTTGTTGTTGTCCTTTTTAAAACCGAACCTTTCTTTTCCCATCCCGGTGCCCACTTCGCGAAGCGTGTTCAGCGCGTGTGAAAGCGCGACGCGGACGCTCGCTTTCGGCCCGAGGATGGTGGCGGTGCTGTGCCACGTCCTTTCGATCCCCACCTGCAACGTGCACTTCAGCGCGTTGGTCGTCCGGGCGCCCGAGCGATCTCGTGGTCATTTTCGTCGTGCACGTGGTCAGCGAGAGACTTGAGAGACTTGAAGTGGCACCCAGTGGCACCCAATCAAATGTAGAATGTTTGGCCTATGTGACCCATGTCTATATGTGGTATTATCAGGTGGTGTAAAGGCTCTGCAAGGTGATTGACTCCAAGAAGAGGAACCGTGGCCCGGTGTACTTGAAGAAATTTGGTTGGCAGAGGAGGAGTTCCATTCCGTTCACTTGCACTATACTTACTTGATTGGAACCAACAAATGAACCAACCAACCCTTGACCATTGGCAACAGCGAGCCTTGCCATGCCGTCCAGACCCGAATCTTCTCCGGCCGTGGCGCACACCAGGGGTGTGTGCAGGTCGCCCAGATAGTACAGAAAGAATCCGCCCATCCGCTGCGACCAGCGACCCCATCAGGCTCGGATGTTGGCGCGCAAGCTGGATTGTCCCAAGCTGGCGGAGGCGAGGCTGTCAGTGTCGAGTGACGAAAAAGTGACGGAGTCGTGACGAGTGAGAAGACGAGACAAGAGGAGAAAATGGAAGGGAGAAAGGAAATGGGCGAAACATGAAGAAATCATGAACAATCACATAGAATTGTTGTATAGTTCTGAGGTATGTTTCTTTTCTTGCGTGCTTGTCTCCTTTTTTGTGGAATAATTGTTTCTCTATTTGCTCGAACCTCCCTCCCGCGCATGGAGTCGAAAGGGGGGGGGCCAGTCGTTTCGCCCGGAGAAGGGTGGGGTGCGGAAGTGGGGTTAACTGTTACTTGAGAAGAATCATCGTCTGAAAGATTGGAAAAGGCAGAAACATGGTAATTAGAGATGTTCAAGAGATCTTTCAGTTATTTTTGATACAAAACATGAAATATTTGTCAATAATATACCTATGCATTCTGTGTTTGTGATGAATAAGACAAGAAATTCCATACCAAACTGCCAGCGACGACACCGGACACCGCGGTGTCCGGTGTCGTCGCTGGCGGTTTGGCGAATCGTTCCTTCCGGCGTGATGCCCAAGACATCAAGGGGTGAGTCATGTTGGATGAAGATCCGCACCAGCCGGAACCGACCTGCTGGAAGAAGAGACATCGACCAACCCAGCCGCTACCCAGGGTGTAAGGGAGGTATTTGCAGGAGTATCCCTTTTTTGATGCATGATGTTGGATACTCCAATCATCCAATGAACAGGTTGGATAACAATTGGTTGGATCATGATGCATATTCCCTAGGGATCCAAGTACCTTCTCAGAAGGTGATTGGAGTCCCTACATATTCTTATACAGCAAAAATGGCGTGGGGGTTCATCCATTTTGGTCTCCACGTGGCGCCACATGGTCGACATCAACATCACTCGTCCTGCAGCTGAATGGCTGAATTCTCACCCGTCGGCACCGGCCGTGGGACCCGTGCTGCAGACGCTACGTTTGGGGGCCGCGCCACGCGCCAGTAGCTTCGCCTCGAAGTGCCTTGGGCAGAGAACGGCAGGGCAGGTGGCGATTTCGCCAGTTGACATTGGTTGACATGTTGATTGAGAAAACTCTTCCTAATTGGATAGGCATAATGCTTTGGTTAACTTAATTTGATTTGTTGTGACAGTGTGACATGCACTTGGTGGTGCATGATTTATCTAAGGTTAGGAAGGAGTTTGAATTGCTTGGATTTGGAAACCACTTGGTACGGTTGGACAGAAGGGTTTGATGTTGGCACCCTCCAACACGCATGCTGCTCCCCACGTTTAAAGGGTATACCTCCGAGGTGGTCTTGACAAAGTTCATAAAACGGGGTCGCTAGTCCTTTTTAATGAGCAAATGAAGGATCAAAAGACCACGGGGACTACCTTTGTCCTTTACGAAGAAAGATCAGAAGATTGGTGTATGCTGTAAACTGGGTCAATTCGTCCAGCCGTCACGATTCTGTAAAGAGTTCTTTTTTGGGGGGACCCTACGAAGCCATCGCGCTTTGAATCCAGAAAGAAATCTCCTGGAAAAGCAATTGACAGGTCAAAACCGGGGCACTCTGGTTCACAAATTCCATGGTTTTGGTCGAGCCTCGCCATGGTTTGGTCGGTGTGGTGCGGTGCCATGGCTCACAGCCGACCGCTTGGTTTGCAATGAAGTGAACGAGACGTGAAGGATTTGATTCCCTTCCGTGGTGAACGAATATCAACGAGCATCCACAGCGGTTCAGAGAATTTTTGGTTTAAAATTGTTTAAATCAACCTCACTTTAGCACGTGTTGGCTTTTTTGGAAGAAACAAAACATATTGTTCATACGTGTTTTTTTCTTATTGGATAGCGGCATAGTGCTACTGAACTGAATTCTGCGCAGGATATATAGATGGCTGCCAAGTTCTGTTGGGATTCGCTTTGCCAGTGGAACGGGGTCCTTTGTCACCCAACATGTTTTTGATTGGCGGAATAATAGAGGGGACACTCCCAAGTGTACTACCAACAGGTATACATGGATGTATATGGTATCAAACTGACCTCTCTTTTATCTCTACAAAGACACAATTCTTTTCCACAGAGCTCCTTGTCTTCATTGTTTCTGTGGGCTACCTGAATCGTCGAGCTCCCCAACTGGTTGCAAGATGTTCCTTTCTTGCGAGTCTGGGCGTTTTTGGGTTTCACAAAGCTCAGGGGGTTGGGGAGCAGGCTGACACTGGCGATCCGGAGGTTCCAGTGACAACCCAATCCTGCTTGTTCGTGCGTCTCACGGCGACTGTGGATCGCAGCTCGTGTCGCCCGGGTTCCGCTTCACCGGGCTCTGTGCACCAGACTTCGCGTTCCGCCGCATGACTGGGCTTCCCACCAGGTTGCAATCAGCCGATCCGAAAACAGTCACTCCCAGGTACATGTTCCGCACGGGCTACCTGCAGCAGATCCTCTCTTGGTGTGAAAAGCCAGGGGATCATTATTCCAGGCCCGGCCCAGCACCGCCAGGTCGATCGTGATGACTGGACCGGTGACTAAACTGGACCGGTTGGGGAGGCTGGAGGCTGGAGGTGTGGAGGAAAAGCAACATCGATCCAGGATCTATAGCACAAGAACTCTAACTTTGGGTCGTTTTGGGTTCTTTGGGCCCCTTTGGGTCTTTCATTCATATAGAGTCTAGAGTCTAGAGGGTATATGAGGGCATGATATGTTCCCGGTTGAGTAGGGATGAATAGTCTGAATATTCCCTTAATGCAGCTGTAGTATCCCTTTGTGAGCATTTCAGATCAACCAACCAAGTTGTTGACTATCATAAGAATGCCACAGATGCCATTTGCAGCGTTCATTTGTGACATCGTGTCACACCATTCAGATTCGGCCCCAACCATGTGTTTTTCGAAAAACTCTCGGCCTGAAGACTCACTGAGCCAAGTGGGTTTCTTGAGGTAAAGCATGGTAAAGCCAAGAGGTGCAAAATAAGTACAGTACTGTGCCGTTGATTTGGATCACAGGTCCGACTCAGGTCGACCCAGGTACAAAGCTCCGGTATGTCCTGTTTTGGTACAAGGGGGGACAGAGGCAACTCCACTTAAAGAGGTCAAACTGACCTGTTATTTCAAGCTGACTTCATTTGGATCCCCTCCCGCTACGTTTTGTTCTGTTCGTTCTCGACAGGGCTTGGGGCCTTTGGCTGGTCTTGACGATGCTCTCCTACGAAGCGAGCGAAGAAAAGCTCAAGGCACACGACCTTTGCACCGGTGTTCTTTGACCGGTGGACCGCATGAGAATTACACTGCACATGGGTCCACCTAGCAGTGGTGAGTTCCTGGCACCCCACGCTTTGTCTCACAAATATGTATATGTCAATGTGCTGTATGTGTGGTTTGCGCCGACTCCGATACGCGGCAAAAGGCATCCATCGCTAGGCGGCAGATGGATGGCAATGGCGATGCCATGCTTTTTTGTGGGTCCAACAGTCCAACGGTCCAACGGTCCAACGGAATGAGAGAGTGACATGACTTGTGTGTCCTGCTTTTTTGATGGTGTTAGTTTGGAATTCGGACGTTTAGACCTTCACGTGCTTGGAGTTCAGCATCCCAGGTGCGATCACTAGGGAGCAGTAGGTGGTGTTGAATCACCCGCCCTGAAGCACTGAGAATCGCCGGCATCTTGAGCCAAAAACTTCTCCGGCCAAGGCAGTGGGCACCATGCTAGTGAAAAAAACATGCTACAGGCAAAGGTGTTAACCAAGTCCTACAAAATACCATGAAATCGTTCGAAATCCATGGAGTTTTCTGGGCTGTTGATGGAAGAATTCCTGGACAGAAACACTCCGAGTCCATACTGGCCAAGGCTGGGCCTCTACCTAGAGGGGCGGGTTGTTCACGAGTATTTGTGCTTTCAGGACGGGTATGACCTGCATGACCTCAACACGTAAATGTTACCTTCATCGCGACTGCGCAACATCAAACCAAAGGACTCAGTAACTCAGCAACTACACAGTGATATACCAGGACCTTCAGACCTTCAAAGTGACCGTCCTTGAGATCCTAGTGGCTGAGGTCACGAATCGTCCCTAAAGAGGTCACAAACAGAGACTCCAAAGAGGTCACGTACTGAAGGTCCTGGTACAGTGCATGGTTATTTGTTTAAACATGTTTCTTGCCCTTTTGCACAGAGATGATCAAATCCCCCTGAGCCGTCATGTCTAGCTTCTGATCCACCGATCTTCGGAACGTCCTCTCACCTGATATCGATTTTCGACGATCCGGCTTTGGGAACGGCAAGAGAGGGACCCGCATTGGGCAAGTCTGAGGGCCGGAGGGGAGAAAGATGTTCAACGCAGTCAGCTTTGGGCCGGTCCTGAAAACATCGGATCCATTCCATTGGGTTCTTGTATTGGTACATTGATGTTGTTATTATTTTTTGAAGTCCAACTGACCTCTGTATAGGAGATTTGTTGAGAACTTGTGACATCGATCCAAGGATGGCATGATAAACTCCCCCACCGCCCCGGCGGCGATGATGGTTCTTCTTTTCAGGCGCAAGCGGATACCTTAGACCCGGAGGCCGTGTTAGTGATGGAGGAGGTGTCCTTGGAGGAGGCATCTCCCGAGAGGGGCCAGGGGCCATTAGGGTGGTTGCGGTGTCTATCAGTTGAGAAGCCTGACAGGATCCGACAGGGTTTTGTATGGACGTCGATGAAAAACACGTTACACAGTTACACAATACAAAATTGAAACCGTTAATTACACAAGAAGCTTCAGAAATACGTTTTCCACCAGATAGCGTGAACTATTGAGCTTCTTACTTCCAAGTGTAGGAAGAGGTGCCTGTGTGCGCTTTGGAACCTGGGTGCTGGTGACGCTGCAGGGTGCTGCTGCCAGATGTGTGGCCATGTACGCTTTGGAGCTTGCCGCTGCGGGGTGCCACTGCCAGATGTGGCTACCGGTGTCACTGCAGGGCGCTGCTGGTATGTTGCCAGGCTGAGGTTGAGGCAGGGCTGGTACTATCCATTCGGGGACCCCTGCTCTCAAACCATGTTGAGTTGGGTTGTGTGTGACAATGGTGACCACCAAGCTTTTGAGAATGGCATGACGTCAACCATCAACCAGGCCGGAAAAGCTGCGAAGAAAAGTCTTGCAGAGAAGGTGGAGAATCTTGAGAAGGACATAGAAGGACACTGTCGGTGGTCAAGAACCTCCCTCCAAAAAATACAATACCTGATGCTGAAATAGCGGACCATTTCACCTGTTTCCTCCCTTGTTGAGGCGTAGGTATCTCCATTTTGTACAGCCGACGGTGTTGTTTGTGCACCCGCAAGGGGAAGGCAATGGCTGCTGTAGCTGAATCCTACATTTCAGCTACAGCAAGCTGGCGCAAAGTGTCTGGTTTGAGCTGCCCGCCCGCAGCCTTCCATCATCCTTCAATGGGATGGTGCTGTCGTGCAAGAAGTGCACATGATGCGTTCCTGCTTTTGGGGCCGAATCCTTGAAAGAAGTGTTTGTTGTTGTGTGCTCGAGGTCAGAGGAAGGCATGTCGTTAGTGAAGAACCTTTGAAGAGTCAGAGGTCAGAGTCAGAAGAACCTTTGAAGAGGTCGTTGCTGAAGCGATGTCCTCGATTTTGTTCGTTTTTGGGCAGTGCCAGAACGTCAATCAGCCATCTAGTCGCTGGCTTGAGACACAGGAGTTCCGCATCCAACAAGAGTAGGAAAATGAAGGAAGGATCTAAGGATTGTTGTCCTGTTCTGTTAATGCGAAATTATCTATGTTGGATTGTTAACACCGGGGGGCTCACTACGCTGCTCGCATTCCAAAAGCAATACAACCAAGCGCTGCAAGAACGCCGCCACATCACCTCATGGCATTATTCACATGTATTCAATCATTGAAGTGTGTTTGGTGGTTGGTGAACATTGTTGCGTTGGTGTTTGCAAAGCACACGCGGCCCAAAGACAGACTGCCAAAAGGCCCTACAGCGCGTGCAACACATGACTGCAACCGGACGTGTCGGTTGGTCCTTCAGGACGTTTTCCCATTGTTGTTGTTCCATTGTTTGGGGCTGTAACTGAGAGAGCTCTGGGAGTTTGCTGGGGGGAAGATGGGATGGTTTGTTGTGTAACGTGTTGTTCCATCATTTGGCGGGGCCAGGCACGCTGAGTCTCTGTGAGGAAGCTGGTGTGGGAAAGTGCGAATGGAAGTGCAGCGACACGTACAGTGCAACTTGTACATATATATGTACCATATGTACTTTGGCTCAAGGATCAAGCGACTAGAAAAGGTGCGGTTTCCGTTCCGACGCTATGCCGCTTATGGACCGTCAGTGATAGCTTCAAACTTTGCTGATTAAGATCCACTCGCAGGTTATCAGCCGTACGCGCTCTTTATAGCCGTACGAGCTACACGAGACCAAGAACAAGACTAGTCATTACAGAAACCTGCAATGTCAAGCTCAGGAGGAAATGGAAGCGAACCCTATTCATTCGCTGCTCCTGGTGGTCCCAACACCATTTCGTCACCAGACTCTACAATGGGTACTGATTCATCAGCAAATGCTGACGTTATCACTATGCCTACTGGATCACAAATCTCGGAAAGATCCGTGCCACCGGCTCGGAATCTGACCGATCTTGCACCCGTAGGACCAAGAAGATCGATGAGAGCTACAACAAGATCTACATCGCCTATAACGTCTACCGCGAGATCCCCAAGAAGGAGTATAGAGAAGAGACGTGACGATGATAGAGGAACAAAAGAGCAAAGAAGAGAGATTCAGCTGGGTGAAGAATTGAGATCGGCGAGAAACGCATACAATTTTCTTCATGAAGAATATGAATGCATCCAAGCCGGATACTCACGACTACACCACGAGGCTGAAGTGGAGTTCAGGCAAATGTCTGACTACAACAGGAAGATGCAGGAACATCTACAAGAGATGACACAGGAAGATGAAGGAGCGACAATAAGAATTGAAGAGCTCGAACACAAGCTACGCTTGGCGGAATCGACAGCTGAACATATCTACATGAGATATCAAGAGCTTGCACAAGAAACTCATCAAGAACATTCAGAGCTTGAATCTGTGAAAGCAACGAAGGACAGAATGTCCCAAGAGCTTCAAGCAGCAATTGGACACATCCAAGAACAGAATGAATCTTCATTGGCGATCAATAGAAGATCAAAAGCCATTCAGGATGAGAACATAGCCTTCGTCGGAATAGCTGACCAGATACAAGCTAGAATGATTGCGCTACAGGATGAGAATGTCAACATGCACGAGGTGATCCAACACCAGAGAGAAGAACAATGGAACAGTGAGGTCAGGGAAAGACGTCTTCAACACAGTGTTCACTCATCTCAAGATCAGAGCAATCAGGAAGCTATGGTTATTGATCATCTACGAGGTCAACTAGCTATGGCACGTGGAGCTGAACTCAACGCGAGAGCGGAGATAGGAGAGATGGAAGTGGGCATGAGGATGGAGATGTTTGTATGCCAGACTGAAGTCTCTGCTAAAGAAATGGCAGAAATGAAGGCGAGCCACCATGAATACGAAGCAAACGTCGCAAAGGAGGTTATCGCAAAAGGAGAAATATTCAACAACGAAGTCCTAGAAAGTTCCATCCGTGAACGACAACAATTGAAAGACGTCAACCTCGCTCTATCCGAAGCCAACGCACAGCTGAAAAGAGAGAATATGATGAGAGCTCCTATGTTCGGCGATGATGGTGCTGAAATTCAACAGAAGATCAGAGAACTGGAGAATGCACTATTGGAAAGCCAGAAGGAGACAAAGAATGTCATTATGGAAAATGCGAAATTAAAAGCAGAAGCACGAATGGCACCCATAGTCTCTCGGTACAGCAAGCGTCCTAGTTCCAGAGACCGCGGGTTACCAACCCACGCGTCCGAGGAAGATGAGATTCGGAACGCAAAAGAGGAGGCGAAGCACTACAAGGACGGGTACAATGAAATGACAGAGAGCCGAGATGAGATGTATGAATGGTATGCCGAAACCCACAACGAGTACGCCGAGGAAAGGGAGAAATCAATTGAGCTATCCGAGGCGAACAAATCATTGAGGGACAAGATTTCAGAAGCAGAAGCATCCTCTTCATCTCATCTTACACCGGCAACCTCTACAATCATGAAAGTATCGAGGAAGGAAGAATCAAAGATAAACGTTCCGTCATGGCCCAGGATCAATGATCTTGGACTATGGAAGGCAAATCTCATTCAATCGATCATCATTGCGGCCAATGATTCAGATCAAGAGCCCTGGATCGACTGGATCAAAGAAGCCATGGACGATCCTGATCCGGACAAGTTTGTCGACTCAGGAGACCAAAGATTCCATTCAATCGATGCCAAACTCGGCCTAGCTCTTACCAAGGTCGTCATGGATGCGAAAGATGATGGTTAAAGATTCCATTCAATCGATGCCAAACTCGGCCTAGCTCTTACCAAGGTCGTCATGGATGCGAAAGATGATGGTTCAGGTGTAGCTATGAAGTTGAGGACGAGGATCAATGCAAAAGGGAGAACATCAAGCCTCATAAAGGGAAGAGAGGGCCTAGCCCTGATCCTTATGAATTTCAAGACAACATCAAATGTGGAAGTCTTATATACTTCAATGCACCTCTACCAACTAGAATATCAAGGAGACAAGAACTTATCGTTGTTCTTCCACACTTGGGATGAGATTCTGGCAGGAATGAAGCCCGTTGACGTCCCGAGCGACGAAACTCTTCGGGATCTCCTATGGAGAAAGATCAGGAACTCAAACCTCATGGCATACGACATCAGCGCCTACAATAGCATGAACGACGATGATGCCAAGAAGACATACAAACATCTACGTGATATGATCAGAAGGCACATCGAACGGCAAACTGAAGACAGGATGATCCTGGAAAAGGAGAAGGCAGTGAAGAATGTGGCCAATATCTTTCAGAATCTCAAACCAGGAGGACCTGCTCCAAAACTGAAAGCTGCACCAGCTGATCCGAAGAAGAAACCAAAAGGGCAACAAGAACAGGTTGTCTCAGAAGACGCTGCTGCAGTGAAGCCGAAACCCAATCCCAAGAAGCATCCTGAAGACAAGAACAAAAAGGGAAAGGGGAAAGGTAAAGGTGATGGAAAGGATCGCAGCCGAAGTCCGAGTACAGACAAGAAGAAGATACCATGCAAATTCTTCGTGAAAGGTAACTGCACTATGGGGAAAGATTGCCCATTCAGTCACAAGAAACCCAGGTCACCATCCAGAGGATCTTCTGTCGGAAAGAATGACAAGCCAGTATGTTGGATGTGGATTCGAGGAACTTGTGACAAAGGGAAGGATTGCAAGTTCTACCATGACCCAAAAACCTCTCCTAAGAAAGGGATATCTGCACCAGCTGACTCAGGAGACGATAGGCCAAAGCCCAAGGCAAAACCCAAACCGAAGCCTAAGGCGAAGCCTGGAGCCCCAGCCATTGACGGTGAACTCTTCATGGACGAATCCGAAGATGAAGGGATTGCTGCATCCGCCAAGGCAAGAGAAGGAGGTGCAAAAGTATCCTTTGATGAAGAGACTTGTGAGATCATGTTGAACGAAGCGATCTAC